GGAAGAAACTCAGTAAAGAAAAAACTTCAACTAAAGTTTCCAAGTTTAATCGAGATAAATTTTGTTTCACCTCTAACCCCCCTCTACTCATCTTCCTCGTCTATTCTTATTTTACTCTTTTTCCATTTTCCATTTCTTTCTTTCTTTGATCAGACTTATCCTTGCCAAACCCTTTCAACCCTTTTCACCCTTTTTTCGTATAACTAACATTAAGAATATTGCGAATGTGAGAATAGGCTTAGGTAATATTTAAAAATAAAATTCTATTGAAAATTAATGAAATATATAAATGTTTAAATAAATACCTTGAAATTGTTTCTTTTCTGTTCGCGAGAAATAAATAATGAACGATTAACACAATTTCGTTAATTTCAAAAATTTGTATTTTTCATTTATTAACGTTTAAATCGTTTAATTGATAAACAAATTCTTTAGTGTTTTGAGATTAATTTATCTTATTAACAAATTATAGTATATAAACACTGATATAAATTTTAATGAAATAAATTTTAATAATAAATGATATTATATATTACAATTAAAAGAAATTTTTATAATTTATATAGTAATATCAATGAAATAATTTATCAATTTGAATGATATTTGTTCGTATGTTTAAAAACAAAACAAAAACTAGAAAAAAGAATAGAAGAAAATAGAAGAAACACTTATAAATCATAAAACTATTCAACCCAAACCCATATAAATATTTTTTCTAAACCATTAAAAATGTATTTTACCATCCAAAGTAAACTGTCATATAAAAATAAACGTAAGTTTTCTTTGAAACAAATAATTGGCTTGCACAATATACATGCGTTTCAACGAACCACTACAAATATGTAGAATTAAAATACAAAAAAAAAAAGATTAGTATCCTATCAAGCAAGAGAAAAAAATAAAAAAAATAAAAAGCATTCCCCATGAATAATATCGTACGATAAAACAACACAAAGAAATTTTTTTCTATTAAATATTTAATTATTAGGAAGAAAACAAAAATTCGTTGGAAGGAGAGAGAGAGAGAGACACTTCGATCATCTTTTTTTTTCTTTTTTCTTTCCCCCCCTCCCTCCTCCCTCCTCCCTCCATCCACCACCCCCCTTTTGTTCTCGTCCTTTTTAATTGCATTCACAATTCTTTTCCTGGGATCGATAATAAATGGAATAATAATCGTACAAAGGTTTTTTTTTTTTCTTTCCATGTGTTCGAGAAAGAGATAAAAGCAAGCCGATTGATCGTCGTTGGATAGATGGGAAAATTCTATTGGGATAATTCGATCAAAACTGAAAGTCGAGTTGTGTCAGGTAGGGTGAAACGTTAGGTACACGAACAACCGAACCATGTCGGATTTGAAATTAATGGCTAACTCATGCTAGTTCAAGAACGTAACCGCAAATAGGGGATAACTTTCTAACAAGTATCCATCCGAAAGTAATACGAGTGTAGAAAGAAGATAATTACATTTCTATTATTAATCGAATATTATATTTGTGTGGGTGTGTGTGTGTGTGTTTTTAAAAAAGAATGCTTAGAAATGTGAACGAAATGAAATAAGAAAGGTATAAGTTGTATTATTAGATAATAAAAATGGTTTTACAAATTTATCGATTATATTTATCATTATATTATTTGGTAATAAGATTTTTTTGTTATTTGTCGTTTGTCTATATTTAATCTAATATAATTTTCATTTAATAATTATATATTTATTTATATGAATATGTTATATTTTAATTTAATTATCGCAGTTAAAGAGTAATTATGATTATATTTTTAAACTACGTTTGTTTTATAAATAGTAGTTAGAAAAATATAAAGATTAAATAACAAATATTAACACACGGTTGATTCAGTTTGGTTTCTTAGTCTATAATTTTATTACGTATACATTGTATTTAACTTTTCAATCTTTCGTATATCTTCGTATAGAAGGTTTTTTTTTCGTAAAGTTAAGTTTCTATAAAATTGTCGTCCTCCCTTTTCTTCTTCATCTTCTTCTTCTTCTTATTTTTATTTATTTTCGTTTATCTTGGAAAAAAACGCGTCGTGGGAGATCTTTTTCTGCGGTTCGCACGTACGAATCCTCGCAGCTACGTGAAATCGAAAATAGTGCTCGAGGGAAGTGTAGTTTCTGCAGTGATTCGACAAATCGTCGAGAACTGCAAGTCCGGTTGTGTGTTCAGGTGCCAAGTGAAGAAAACCGGACCGAACAAATTGCCCTAGAAAAACTTCGAAAAACACTGCTCCACAACCTTTTAAGAATTCAACAACGATGCCAAACGTCTAAGAACTGTCGTCGCGATTTAACCGAAAACGCATGAAAATATTTAATGTCGTCGAACTATTCGAAATTAATTAAACATACATGAAATTTACTATTTCAATTGTGAAAACTAACGCGATCATTTTTATTTATCACGTTTAATTACGATTTTTCATTATTCAATTATTCTAATTATCTTTTCTATATACGATAATAGAATATCAATTATATTATATCAATTAATTTATTAAATAGTTGAATTCATTTCTTATACGTATTTATTGTCTTAGAATAAAGGTATATTCATTGTTTTTATTAATTCACATACACACACACACATTAATAATTAAGAATTAATTTCATTTTATTTACTCCATAAAAGTTGAGTTATCAAGTGATAATGGTAAGGAAGATAAACTTTTATAACTTAAGCATGATCGTGACTATACAAAAATCTATAATATCGATATATAATAAATCAGATGATAACTCTAAAAATAAATTTAATAATAACTTTAATGATAATCGTTAGACATAAAATATAACTTGATGATTGCAAAAAATATTAGGTTCCAATACCACATCGGTTTCATATTTATTCTAGTAAATCTTATATAGTAAATTTTATATTTTCGGTACTCTGTTTTAACAACAGAGATTTAAAACTGTCTTACCAACCGAGTTTAAAACTGTTGTACCGACCGAAAATAATCTGTTTTGCCAACCGAGTTTAAAACTGTTGTACCGATCGAGAATAATCTGTCTTACCGACAGAGTTTAAGACTGTCTTACCGACCGAGTTTTACAACTTTTATAAAAACGAGAATAATCTGTTATACTGAGTTCTGAAACTCTTTTAGCGACCGAAAAAATCTGTTTTACCGACAGAGGATTAAAACTGTTTTACCTACTGAGATAATTTTGTTTTACCGACTGAGATAATTCTGTTTTGATGACCAAAATAATCTTTTTTACTAACTTGGATTCCAACTGATTCCCCGATCGAGATTTATTTGTCTTACTAACAGAGACCTTAATTAGTTTCACTTACCGAAATTTTATTTGTCTTACCTTTAGAGGTACCGAAGTTAAGAAACTGCAAAAATGAATCAAGCACTTATTGATTTTTAATAATTTATTAGTTTGCAATTACCTGCAATTATTCTCATCTTTTTGCGGCGAAAATTTTTTACTTTTGGTAATTTTTATGGTAAGCTACCATCAGATCTCGGTTGGTAAGTCGTATTATCGACAGTAAAAAAAATGCGAAAATAAAGCAAGCAATTATGAGTTTTAAATGAGCAATTAGTGAGCAACTAACTGCAATTCTTCTTTTTCTCTGTGGTTAAAATTTTTTATTTCTGATAAGATAAAGGTAGTGCTCTACTATTACCGATATTGGCTTAGCTATGTTACTAGAATTTCAATATATTTGAAACTTTCTTATTTCCTAGTAACTTTTAATAGCAAATAGTGTACACAAAATGAATGTGTAATTAAATTCTATATACATTTAAAAATAAACAACAATTTAAAATCTAATAGAGATATTTTGTTTTAATTATTAATCAAAGGATTTTACTTTTTAGGAACGATTGTCTTAAAACAGGTACAGGAAAAAGATTTACTAGAATAAAAAAAAACCGATATCATATTGAAACTAGAAAGACCGGGGAAAAACGGACAAACAATTAAATTAATGAAGTATTCTATTGTTTTTTGTTTTCAATCAAGAGAAAAACGTTTTTGTTTTATCAATTATAATTAACTAATGAAATAAATAATTTATAAAGTAAGCAATTGTGGATTTTGATTGAACAAAAATATGTACAATGCAAAGCACTTATTCATTGTTTTTTTTCTGTTAAGGTTCCTTGCCAACGTTCCTACGAAGGATGATTGAGGTTTTCATCAAATTTGTATTGTTGAAAATACTTTAATACCGAGTACGATAATCCACACAAATAGTTCTCTCTTTGATATTTTTGTTTTAATCACGAGAAGCTTTAATTTAATTAAGGATTAATTAAAGGATTAGAATTAATTTTCTTACAGCTCAACAGGTTAAGTTATATTGTTTATTTTGTGGTTTACTGTTTAAGGTAACTGGCAATTACATTTTACATACAGTATTATTATATTTTTATAATAATTGAATAAAAGATAAATTGATTCCATTCTTACAATTTTTGTACAAATATATAAAAAATGATTTATCGATATTTTCTTCATGCTATTATTATTTTTTCTTAAATCTTTGCGATATAATAACAAATTATTCCACATTATCATCACTAATTTATAATATTGTTATTTACTTCGTCGATTATATTATTATCAATTTTTGTTTCCTAAATTAAAGGTTAGTTTTTTTTCCCATATATTGAAAAATCAGATCAATCAAATCGACGCGCACTCTGGTGGCAATAAAAATAATTCTCTCATTGTATATATCGTAGCCATATTTATAAAACTTTCGATCGTTCTCCTTATATATATATACGCTTCCTGTGTTTACCGTTAAACAATTTACATCTCCTGGTACATATGTTTCCCAAATTAGAATATGTTTTGATTAAAATGTTGGGCATTTATTCTTAAATAAGTAAATTCCTATCCAGAAGAAAAAAAAGAAAAAGGAAAATAATACAATCCACGCGAAAAGTTTTCATTTGACGAGGAATGGTGGTGAGTAGGTATAACTGGGTGGATTTTTTTGTTTAAAAAAAAAAAAGAAGAAGAAGAAAATATTTCAGACGAATGTTTTCGATCGGCAACAGGTAATCATTCGACGATGGGCAACATCCATCGCGTGATCGAGTTGTTCCTTGAGTTCCCTCGCTTTAACATAAACATCCTCTTTCATGAGATTATAACACATAGCTATTAATCCCATTCCAAGTAAAAGATAAACGAAATTGATGACCAATTTGGTATGACTGCTTTCCGTAGATTCACCTAGTGTCCATCCAGGTATAAAATCACCCATACCAATTTTACATAATGATGTAACGCAAAAATAAGTACTGTCAAGAAGATCCCAACCTTCCCATTGTGCGAACATGATTGAACCAACTAGAACGTATCCGAATATGACCCATAAACAAGCGGTGGATGGTACTGTAATCCTTTGACCAGGTTTCCTTTGTCCAGTACACTGATGTAAATTTGTATAAAGCCATCTGAACGTTTGCGCCAATATTTTGCCCATATTGAGAAAGTACAATACGTATAATGGTATACCCAATACAGCATACATCACAGTAGCACCTTTACCCCATGGTGTTCTCGGTACCAAATTACCATATCCTATCATGGTAAATATTGATAAACAAAACATAAGTGCTGCTGGGAATGACCATTGTTCAGATGAGGTCATACCGATGTTACAACTTTTTCTCAAATATGCAGCAGTAAAATTATTTTGCAATTCTATTAAAATAGAATTGGACACGATGAAAAATGTTGTACGATTGAATATATTAACGGTTTGATCGCCCGCCGTTTTATACCATAATACATCGGCGTATTGTTTTTGTATAATATTACGCGAACAATCGGGATCAATAATAACATTTTGTTTTTCGATCATTATAAAACCAAATGCACCGACTATAGCGTATCCAACAACGAGACCACCCACGCCAACTTGCGTACACATAAATGCTACCAACTTACGACAACAATCTTTTATTCTTTCACGTGCATCTGGTCCACCAGTTGACGTTGACGATGAATCCCGACTTCTCAATGACGATCTTAATACTGGACGTACCATTTTTTTTGTTTGATTTGATTTGATTTGATATAGATTTTAGAAAAATTCTACGAGAGATACACTATCGTTTAACAAACCACATGGAACTATACCCTGGCTGACACTAACAACGAAATTTGACTCAACCGAATTTCTATTTTCGTTCGGAACGTGTTTCTTCCTCTTCTTCTTCTTCTTCTTCGTTTATGTTTCTCTTTCCTATATCTTTTCATCTTTTTCTTATACATATTATATACTATGATATATATACGGTGACTCTATTTTATTATCTCTATCACATTTTTCTTTTTTTTCTTCTTCTTTAAATTTAAAATCTTTGAATTATGTACACACATTTTCTATCATTTTTTTAATCTCGATCGTTAATATCTTTTTTATTCTTTTTTTTTGTCTTTTCTTCGAATATATTTATACGTATTTTAATACGTATACACGGTGTCCCTATATTCTATAGGTTTTTTTCTACTTTAATCTTAAAACCTTTAACCTATGTACACATATTTTCTATTCCTTATATTTTATTTTTTTTTATCTCAACCATTAGTAGTATTTTTTCTTTTTCTCTTGGTGAGAGATTAGTTATTTGTTTCTTTATTACATCTTAAAAAAGGAAACACAAGAAATCTATATATAATTTTATATTACTTTATTATATTCGTATCTTTTTAAACAATCATTTGTTTTGTTTTCTCTTTCTCTTTTACATAATAAATTAATTAATAAAAAATAATATGTGTAGATAAATATTTATGGATGACTTTAGATTGTTATCTTTTTATTCGTTTATTTCGTATCTGTCCGATGTATCATACTATTTTTTTTTTTTTTCAATGGATTATAATTTTAAAAATAACACACGATTATAAAAGATGAAAAAAAAATGATATTGGTTTTATTCGTTGGTTCAGATTACTTACTGGCATTAATTCAAGAATACTTGAGAAAAACAGACGAGTTTCATGAACTTATGTTAGTGGTTCTATCTTAGGAATAATAAGTGTTTCACCAGGTTTCTTTATAGGCCTAGCATGAAACTTGAAATAGTTACACTCGAGATACTTCTTCGTCTTGCCAAATACAGTTTCTCACTGATCTATATAAATTCTCTGTTAAAAATATAAATAACAAAAGGAATATTAATCATCGTATATTATGTTTACATACGAAAATTTTAAAATAAACACGAATACTTGTTTACATTATTAAATAATATCATTTGATTTCTTCGAAATAAACAAAAAAGAAATGATCGAGAGAATAAAAATGATCGTTTGATGAAATTCGATATATACGAGATACGTGTAGATTGTAATATATATATTTATCTTACGTGTAATAAAAGAATAATCTCTCATTGAGACAGATAAAAAAATAAAACAAAAAAGGGAAGATTAATTGTTTAACGTAACTTCTTACGTTATTCTTTTTTTGTCAATTTCTTTTTGGTATCGTTAAAAGTTTGCTTAATTTTTTGTAATCTTTATATAATATGTCATATATTCGACTGATATTTCCAAAAATATCAATTTATCTATTTCACATTCGTGTGTGATTTCTAGAAATAATAATAATAATAATTAATAAGTATAATAGATAATATAATAATTAAAAATAAATTAAATGAAAATTTTTA